GATATAGTCAAAGCAGCAAAGCTTCCAGTGGCACAGCGTTCCAGCGACGATGCGCTGCTCATCCGGGTGGCAAAAGGACGTCGTGCCAACACGTTGAGGAAGCACGTCAAGACGTGGATGAAAGCCTCCAGATGGCTGGATGCGGTCTTTGGTGAGCAGTGGCCGGCAAGCCCGGAATGCTTCGCGGAGTTCTTGGAGGCAATGGTAGAGTAACCCTGCGCCCGCAGCTTTCCCGAGGCTGTCTACAAGGCGCTCATGTTCCTCGAGTACGCCGGCAAGGTGCCAGAGGCAGATCAACTATGCCGTGCACCAGCAATCAAGAACGCCCCCTAGAAGAGGCAAACTTGAGGCTGCAGTCGGTGGAGTTGAAGCCTTCGAGAAAGGCGCTGGTCATCCCGGTCTCCATCGTGATCGCATGGGAACACAGCATGTATGCGATGAGTCGAAGCCCAACTATCATCGCGTATATGCTTGGTTTCGGCTGACAAAGCTGTGGACAGGCATGAGGTTCGACGACACCAGAGGCGTGCCGAATCGCACGTTGGAGCTCAGTGACACGTGCCTGAAAGGGGTCATTCACCGCTCGAAGACCTCAGGCCCTGGACCTCAGGCCCTGGAAAGCATGTGATCTTGCTCCCCTTCTACATCAGCCGTCAGGCCTGGATCATGGAGAAGGATTGGTTGGAGGTGGGCTGGAAGCTCTGGTCAGCTATGGGGACTAGCTCAGGCCTGGCGACGAGAGACTTCATGTTGCCATGGCCTGACAAGAACTGCAGCGGCTTCGCGAGGAAGGTGGTGGACTACCCTATAGCGTCGACTATGTCGCAGGCCCTGTTCAACGAAATTCGCGCTGGAAAGGGCGAAGGCGCAAAGCCTCTCTTGCAGCCAGGCTTGGGAGTGTTGTGGACGGAGCACAGTGAGAGGGTCACTGTGCGGACATGTTCGGCGGATGATCGGGAGGTGGCGTCCATCAGCGGACGAAGCATATGAGCAGAATGTCAAGGTGAACGTGCTGCGCAGCCAGAAGGTTCTGGCAACGTTCGTCAAGGAGAACATGGCGAACTCCGATCCCTTCGATGAGACGAGCGCGGTGCAGCTCGTCGAGCAGCGTATGCGGGGCATGGGCTTCAAGCAGGAAGAATGCGATGAGCAGATGATGTGTTTGATGACCTTCATGCCAGGCCACGACACGGCCAGGCCCTGCCTCAGGCCCAAGTGGACGACCACAGGGCCTGTGGTGTTGGTGGGAGATGAGGAGGACATCGTGGAGGTCAAGACAGAGAATGGAGACTTGGATGAACAGAGCGACGACCCACAGGAGGTCGAGACGGATCAATCCAAGGTCCTGCCGCTGGAGAAGGTGGCGGGAATGTTTGTGGTTTCGGTGGCGGGCAGGTCGAAGACCAAGACTCTACACCGTATTGGTGACTGCCACAGGCAGCCAGGGGTACACTACGCCCATTTCGAGGTGCTAGGCCAGGAAGCGCCCAGCACGGCGGCCTACCACAAGGCGTGCCGCCAGTGTTTCCGGTTCGGCGTAGCGGATGTGGCTGCGACAGCTGGTGCGCTCGGGGAGGATGAATCCTCGGGCGAGGTCACGTCGTCAGAGATGACGGAGTCAGGAGAAGAAGAAAGCACGGGGTGACAAGGCGACAAGGGGGCGTTCATCCCGTGAAGGAGATCAGAACACACCGCGTGGCAGAGTGCGGCGCGAAAGGACGCGAGAGCAGTCTTCTCTGGGTCGGGGGAGTGCTGCACTAAGGGGGGTAGAAGTAGCGCCAGAAGAGGGGTGGGCGCTTCCGTAGAGAGTTGAGGAGAGCCACTAGGAGGAGAGGGATCGACGGAGCTGGGGGGTCGTTTCGCTCGGTCGGTCGCGTGTTGTAAGAAGGCAATAAGAGGTGAAAGGCGAGGTCTTGTCTCTCTTGAGAGTTGTGCTCACATCTGTGCAGTCATGTTTCGTCTAGAAGTACAGAAGCACACGGTCAGGTGAGAGGAGATCCACAACGCATGGCGTGTCTCCCTCTTTTGGCCTAGCACGGGGCGTCGGCGCGGACGGGCCGGCGCAGTGGGCTATATAGAGATCATGGCCGGGATCGGTCATGATACGGATGAGCGTCGAAGGAACGCCATCGCGCTTCTCGATGCGGATCTACATGGACTCCTACAAGTGAAGGAGGTCGATGAGGTGTCCCAGGCGAAGTTGGCAGTGGCAAGGGTTCGTAGTGTGAGCAGGATGAGCACCATTGCTGACACACGTGCAGGTATGAGGACGTTCTGCGCAGATGTTCTAAGCCTGGATGCAACCCGAGATGTGGTGGAGATTGCAGCGCTTGTTGACACATGGGAATCAGCAAGCACCAGGGTGGCTGTGCGCAACAAAGCGGAGGCAGAAGCAGGGGTTGCGAGTGTTCCCAGGGCTCTGAACAAGGTAGAGGTGCAGGAGCTGATCATCAAGTTCCAGACCGTGCACAACATCAAGCTGGAGGATCGCAATACACCTGCAGCTTCGACCCTCGAGCAGATCTTCGACCAGATGGAGCAGGGCGAATTGAAGAATATGAGCCTTGTGCAATTCCTCAGTAGGGAGGATGCAGAGGCGGATATCTTGGGCGCCACCGTGGAACGGGGGACAGGCACGCTCAAGATTAAGAAGGGTTATGGGGAATGCCAAAAGCCTCGAAACCCAGAGGAGCTCCGCAAGAGGATGGCAGTTGTGGCAAATTCATATTTGCTTGCCCAGCTGAAATACCCACAGAAAGCCTGGAGACGTTTACATGCATACACGGGGTACCTTCGGGATTGCGAGTGCTGCCTACTGGTTCGGTCGAGTCATTGGCGTGGTAGTTCGTTCGCTGTTGTCACCGCCTCATGGGGAGGCACATGGGGCTCCTGCATTTGATCTATGCCGATGATGGATGGTTGACAGCAACGGGCACCAAGTTCTGGAAGAAGATGCTTATGTGGTTGTTCCTTTACGAGCTCCTGGAAATACCCATCACGTGGAAGAAGGTGCGTGGTGGTGCAGGGGTCGACTGGATTGGATACCATCTGGACGTGGCAGCCTTCACCAGAGGGATTAACGAGTCCGAGAGGACTTGGATTCTGAAGTGGGTTGATGACAAGTTGCAGCAAGGAGGTGTTCTAGGCCGAGAGCTAAAATCAGTTCTGGGCAGGCTGTCGTTTGTGGCTGGAGCGCTACGCCACGTCAGGCCTTTTCTGGCCCCACTCTTCGCGTGGTCTTCATCGCTGGCGGGTGGCACTTTCGCCAAGTTTCCGGACGCGGTGGTTATCCTGCTTGAATTTGTGAGGGAGGAAGTGTCCCGGAAGCCGGTGAGGGGCCTAGAACCTTTGTTAGCCAGTCCAACCGACATTTTCCGGGTGGACGCCAAGGCCGCGGGAGAAGAAATCGTGATCGGAGGCTGGGATCTTGGAACAGCACACCGCTGTCTCGGGCTTGTTGGTTTTCCTTCAAGCTCAACCGTCGGAACGCCGCATGGGCGTACCTGCAGAGGCGACCCTTTTCGGTCGATCGCAACATTGGAGCTCATTGGGGTGCTGGCAGCGGTGATGGTGCTGGCGCCTGATGCAAGCTGGGCAAAGGGAGACTCGACAGTCACCTTGTCGGCTCTCACAGACAATCTGGGGAATACACATGTCTTGAAGAAGTTTGCAAGCAGTCGCTACCCCCTTAGTATTAGTGGCAATGGAGCTGTCGGGTCGGCACAGTTGGACCGCCGAGGGATTGAGCTTGATTTACAATGGGTCCCACGCTGGCAGAATCAAGAGGCTGATGACCTTACAAACGAACGTTTCGACGACTTCGACGAGAGACGCCGCATCAACGTTCAGTTTGAACAGCTCGAGTTCATGGTCATGGGCAAGCTTTTGGAGAAGGCGGGGGAGCTCGACTCAGAGCTTCGCCTGCACAAAACTTCGAAGGAGGCCAAGCAGGCCATGGAGAGCGCCAGTGGAGAGAAGGTCAGGAGCAAGAAGGGACAGCTTCGCTGGCAGGACCCTTGGTGAAGAAGGCGGGAAGGGGTCGTGTCGTTGGGTTTTCTATTTCCCCTCACAGGCTAGTTCGATTAAGAGTGGGGTAACGCGGACCTCACTGTAAGTTTACTAAAGTGGGGGGAAAGATACAGTGAGATCACGGTTAGGTCACACCATGTTGAGGGTCCTGCAAAGATAACGTTTCTATCTACCAGCTGATAAAGCAGCTGGTAGTGCTTCTCACGTGCTTGACAGGTCCTCTCGCGCAACCTCGGAAAAGATCCTCGCGTGAGTGCAGTGACGGCTAGTTGTACGCAGTACACGGCTTGTCACGTAACGATCGGTAGCTGCGTGGCTCAATCCACGTTCAGCTCTCCCACCATCCAACCCCAAACTCCACCATGTCTACCGATCGGGGGAAAGATACAGTGAGATCACGGTTAGGCACACCATGCTGAGGGTCGTGCAAAGATAAGCCGTGGTCGTTTCTATCTACCAGCTGATAAAGCAGCTGGTAGTGTTTCTCACGTGCTTGACAGGTCCTCTCGCGCAACCTCGGAAAAGATCCTCACGTGAGTGCAGTGACATTTTTTAAGATACATATACACACATCTCTCCCTCTCTTTGTGTATATTATATATATATATGTTGTATACACATTGCCTACAAAAGTGCAAGGGAACAGAACACTAGCTGATGTTTGGTCTTATCATGTTATTCTTTGCACTTATTGTCAAGGGGTTCCATACAATTTGTTTGTGGAGTTTGTGTGGTTTTCGCTGAAGAAGGCAGAGCAATCTAATCTTGGCATGGGGTATCATTATTGAGAAGGACCTTCAGCATCACCTGAAGTTGATGTCTGTGAGACCAACAACCGTAGGGGCCAATAGGTACTATTAAGAGAAAACTTCACATGTATTTCTCGTGAACCTGGAGTTTGCATCAAGGATCGTGGCCACCAAAAAGGTAATATTGTTGGTTGATTGCGGTGCACTTGAACCACTGCCAAGGTGTATCTGTACAGTAGCATCCTTGCGATCCTGGATCTCACAGGCCTTGAAGCAGCATTTGACCATGGCGGAGTAGTTGATTTGATACCTTGATGCATCGAACTGTTACTTTCCTGTGTGATTCTTATTGCTGTTCCATATGAGCAACCGCAAAAACGTCAATGATTAATTTAGTACAGTGCGGCCGTGATTGTCAGGAATTGGGTTAAAACTTCAAATTTCAAGCCTGCGAACACAATAGGCCAATAGGCTCCCTCAAGAGCGATAACCATACTTCTGCAGTTTGTGGAGATGTTGGCATTATTGTTGCTACAACCTGCAAAAGCGATAGGCCCCCAACCTTGCTGAATCATGTCCTCTTCTTGATAGTACGTTTTGGCATACGCTCACCTCAATTCTTTACACTGGTGTACATCCATTTCATCGAACTCCCAGTCTATCCCATGGGGTCGTCAATTCATGTTTGGGGTGCCGCATTTTTGCACAGAACATCGACGCTTCATACCAACTTTGGGCTCGGCTTGTCTCATCTCTTTGTGTATGCCATGCTCTGCAGAGAAATTAGTGCATTCCGGGACGTTGCGTGACAAGGAAGTCCGCCAACAAGATGTTCTATGTTGATATGAGCGAGCAGATCGCATGTTTGGACTTCTTGCTCTCAGATGAAGATTCGGCAGTCTGGCACTAAATCGTTCATGTTGATCCTTCCTTGCTATGTGGGCTGGAGTGGTTATCAGCTTCCAGCACACGCTATTGTTTTGCATTGCGTTGCGTTTATTGGATAGCACTCTTGCAAGGATGGTCCCAGTGAACGTGCAACCCTGGTTGCTTTGCATGCGCGAGAGGATAGCTACGGTGGTTGGGAGGACTGCACCAATTCTTTACCTCCCTTCGCTTGTGCAATCATTTCCATCCTTTTGCAGTCCAGGACGGGCCGAAGGTGCTTTGCATCCATTGCATCGACCTCCACAAAAAGCGCTTGGGCAGGATGGTTGCGTGCAACATGCTTAAGGATATGTAAGAATAAGATTGCATTGTGGAGCCTTGATCGCGTCACCCCTCCTTTCAATAGTTGCTCCTGCAAATTTTGTTCGCTTGCTATTAGGAAGAGTGGGAATTGTACGTATACATTTTTGTTGGAAGAGGATGACTTGAGGAGAAAGAAGCAGCCATTGTAACACTGTAAGACTGTAAGACTTACATTTCGAGCTTGCGAACTGGTTGGGATGCCTGGGGGATCTAGACTGGTATTAAGACTGGCAGATTATAGTACATAGTACTGCATGGTCTCTTGTGGAAAAGCAACATGAGAAGATTGAGTTGCCATATAGAAATTAGACAATGACAATAATAGAAGACACTAGAAGCATGAAGAAGCCGTTCAACATATTTTGTCGAAATGTGTGTCATGTCACGACCTATGGAACACAGTTCCTCGCAACCTAGGAGCTCCAAGGCAGCAGCCAAGCCAGAGCTTCCATTTGCTCGGGGCCTTGCGAATGTGCCTGGCAGGCCTGATCTGCTCGATGCACTCGCAGAGAACGGGCGGTCGGAATATTTTCAGGATATCTACGTGTTCCACCAGCAATGCGCTCTTTTGATTAACATTTACCATTGTTTAGTTCATCGATAGTGACGTTCGGGCCTTGTTCGGGCATCCTCATCAAAGGCGCATTTTCGGGCCTGCCAGGCAGTACGTCGACGCAACCCTAATGGCATGTGTTCCACCAAACACAGCGGGTGAGTGGGCAGCACAAGGACAGCCCGCAAGAGGAAACCTGTTGGTTGTTGCGGTCTTTGCAGTCCTTTTGCATTGGACATGAAAAAGGGACGTTTCTCCATGTAAACTCAAGCCTTGAGGCGCTGTCCTTGCACTTTGGCAGCCTTTAAGAAGCCTCGCTCTGTGTTTTCTTGACCTTGCCACATGTTTGGCCGTGGCACATGCCTATAAATCTAATTGAGCATTCGCCATTTGATGTAGGCAAAGGCTGGGTGCACAAGTGCACATGACACTGCCATGCTGATGCAACAGAACAACGCAGAACAGAATGCTTGAGACTGCTCACCGGTAAGCTCGAAGTTTGAGGTTGTGGGCGCTGGCTTTGTGCGCCTCTATGACCCCAAGCTGCAGCCCTTGAGCTCCCTGCGCGGAATACAGGCTTGGCATGGCCAATGACATGTTTAGACTAGACTCCAAACATCTACAATCATTGGCAGAGGGGCAAGAGTATATGTTTTATATTTTTGCAGGCACCGTTGGTTCTGGTGAAGGCCAATGCCTGTGGCAACCGATGGCTCATAAGCGGTTCCTCAGGAGATTTGCACCTGTTGCTTGCTTTGCACCTCCAACTGGCATGCGCCGTCACGATCCTTTTTTAAGTCTTTTTTGGTCTCTTCGGCCGAGGTTGCGGCTGGAGGTGCCCTTTTCATCCTTTGCCACTTCAGTGCACTGTATCGTTTTGACTTGACTGAAGCCAACACGCCAACCCAATCGCCAGCCAAAACAGACTTTTGCCGATTGCTTCTTGCTTTTGGCTTTCGCCGGTTGTCGTGTCAGAGGCGTTGTTTTTCTGGACCCGCTGTTGGGCTACTTGCAGGGGCTACTTTGAATTGGTGGGTCTAACAAGACCAGACCAAACAGCAAAGACTTGACCTTTTTCAAGTGGTTTAATTATGCCTGTTCGATCTCCTTAAGGTCATTCTAGCGATTGTGCTGCACCCACAGCACGAAGTGCAATCTACAGAATAAGATAAGGAGCACACACACAACGGCAGTCCAGTTTTGCACGCAGAAGTGGGGACTTGTCCAAGCATTTGTTGAAGTTGGCGCATCAAAGCCCATGTTGGTTGTGTCATGTTGTGTCCAGTCCGAACCTGTGTTTGCAGGGCACTCGGAGTCCTGAGCTCATCGTTCAGTGCCTGGGCATCAGCGCACCGGCCAGCCTCAACATGTTTGCATGCAAGTGCATCGCTACTAGTAACAAGTGCCTTACTAGTAGTAACAAGTGCCTTACTACTAGTAACAAGAAGCTATTAGAATTGATTTAATAAAAATGCACCCTTCTTGAAATCCGGTCTCTTCGCGCCAGGCGTCCGGGATTGGCACTTGGAAGTATGGCGAGTATGCCTTCATTGGGTCTCGGGCTACTGTCCAGCACAAGTGATACCCTTTATTCAATCCGTCTCCAAGCATTGGAAACTGCGTCTTTGCACTGTGCTCAAACCTCGTATCACACCACATGCGTGTGAAGTTGACATTGTAACACGATATGCACTAAGGTCACCGATTCTGAAGTGCAACTTGCCTGAATATGACGCGAAGATCTCGTGAAGGGTCTGAGACGAGACGGAGATTGATTGAACATGTTTGCTTCTGCGGTGTTTGAAGCTACCAAGGCGTTACAGTAAGGGTCTTGATTCTCCCTTAGGCTTGTGTAGACTGCTCACAATCGACAGCACCACTGGTGCAACTGCAAAATGGATTGTTGGCACTTCAGCGGGTTTATCTTTATTTTTCACAGCTACTGTACATAGTCATTGCCCTAACGACGCGTATATTTGGCTCAAGGAAAACTGGTGCTTATAGGCTGTTTCCTATCTGAAATAGGTTATCAGCCGTAGGTCTCTTTTGTCTCACCTCGCCGTCCCGCGCGCGTCCTACCATGGCAGGCATTGGGTATCCACCAATCATTGATTTGGTGTCAGATCAGGACAATATGTCCGCGCGTGAGGGAACGCCTGAGTTCGCAAGTTCCACGGCACTTGTTCCCGAGGGTTATGGTTATTTGGACACGCCAGTTGGGCCTGACATTCTCCAGTACAACCCTCCCACAGCAAGTGCCAGCGGGAACGCTGTGCCGGCCAATACTGTAAGTCAGACAAACGTATTGAACCAGCACGTGCATGTTCACCAAGCCCCAACCACCGATGCTCGTTTGATTGAGGCCGTTGCCGAAGAACGTCACCGGCACGCCATGGACATTCAGGGTGAACAACTCCGTCTAGTGAGTACTCAGCGTGACGAAATGCGAGTACAGGGCTTAAGGCTTATGAACGAAGCTGAACGAATGTTTCATGAGAACACGGTCGTCAAACAGGAAGCCACCGCTTTCGTTGAAGCTGCCCAGAGAGGTTACGAGGCTTATGCCGAGGCTTCCGCGGCCGAGCTTAGGTCCATGAAACAACACCATGAGAGTCAGATGTTAGATGCACGTATTCGTAGTGATCATGCAATTGAGAAGTGCATGGCAACCATTGAGTCATTGAATAACCATGTTGAGCGCCAGAATCGGCAAACGGAAAGTCTTCATTTGGAATTGAGACAATCCATGAAGAAGCAAACTGATCTCCAAAGCCAACTGAGTGCTCTCCGAGATGCCAGACTCCAGAACGACCTGTTCAGTTCTTGGTCCGCCGTTCGCGCGCCGGAAGGTCCAGCCGTTTTGGGTCCAAGGGGTCTTCCAATGATTCCTGCAGGGGGGCAACGATGAATTTCAGACCCGAGATTACTCTCCATCCATCCCCAACCCGGCTATGCTTAGGCAAACCGTCAAACAAGAACCAAAGGACAATCCGGTCAAGAAGGAACCGAATGAAGAGTCCCTTTTTGGTTCACCATTGAACTCCATGAGGTCAGGCGAAGGTGTGATTCCACCACTGCCACTGGGAACCAGTGATCAGACCGGTAAGGCTCCGAATGGAGCGCCCGGAGGTGATCCCCCACCACCTCAGCCAGAAGGTGG